ATAATTTGTACATGTACCACATGTGGTGTGAACAACAGTAAAGAAACTCTGACTCTGACTGACTTTATGATTGTCTATTATTGTCTTTGTTGTCCACTTTTGTCATCACTCTTTGTTTAAATCAGCTCTCTCTTGTAAATGAGTCCCCATGGCTCAGTGGGATTAACCTGTATAAATAAAGATTAACTGAATGAATTACAAACAAAAGTCATTCAGCCTCAGGGTAGAAGCTGTTCCTCAGTCTAGTGGTTCTACACTTAATGCGCCACAACCTCCTGCCTGAGGGGAGCAGGACAAAAAGTGTGTGTGCTGGGTGAGTGGGGTCCTTCATGATGCAGAGGTGTAGACGTCTGTGATGATGGGGAGACTGACTCCAACAGACTTCTGTGCAGCCTCCATGCCACACGGGTATTTTAAAAGTCTTTGAGAAACAAACATAAGGTAGTAAGTGTTTTTATTTTGGGTTTGTTCAGACTCATCCTGAGAAGATATTTAACAGTTTATTTTTATTTAAATATTTGTTATTGTTTTTGTTTTTTTACAATGATAAATGTTATTATTGTTAAAATTTGATTTACAAACTTTTATTTTTTTATTTTTTTACCAGTTGCTTTGGCCAAGACACTTTTGTAAATTAGATTTTTTTTTAAATATATATTCTAAATGAGTTTTTCTTTCTCCTGATAAAATAAAGGATTAATAACATAAAAATACAAACTATTTGCCTCAGAATTGTAAAGATAATCTGAAAAGAAGCATCGTAAAAAGCTCTGGCACTGCCTTTTTGTTAAGGAAAGATGAATCAGAAAAATAAAGTTATTGTCTTGGAATGGTTTATGACCCATCATCTCAATCACATGATGACATGTGCTCACATGAACTACAGTACAACGGCACTCTTGTTGTGACTAGATTTATTGAAATTTTTTAAATATAGAATTACAGATTCTGTGACTGAGAAATTCCTCATTTAAACTTATTTCATTTGATTTTACACGATGAAGACCGTTATAGAGATGGACAAATAAAACATTTCAAATGATGAAACTATTTTTTTTCAGTGTTTCAAGAGTCAAACATTTGACTGCAAAGGGGTTTTATACAAATTGTCAAAAATGAAAATGGTATGGTTCCAGATGTGAGCATTGTGATTAACAACACACTTTAATCCTAGATTGTTAATCCTTTTTACTATTTGAGCATTGTTTAAACTAGAACAGGGGTCTGCAACCTGCGGCTCTGGAGCCACATGCGGCTCTTTGGTCCATCTGCAGCGACTCTTTCAAGCTTTGGCCAAAACTGACATAAAACTCAATTTTATAGGCTGTTATACCCACATTAAAAAATATTAGTTTTAGCAGTTTTCTTGTCAATTCCTTTGCAAATATGTGGATACTAGTACTAATACACAGAGTAAATTATACTCACTTTAACTTTACACTTTATTTCTTCAAAGTAGGATACTCAATGTCTCCACAATAAAAAAAAAACATAAGCCTGCACAGTTCATTGTTTTAGTTTTTAAAAAATAGGCAAAATAATACCTGTCTTTTTTTCTTGACAAGAATCCCGTCTTCTGTGATAGACTTGCGACCTGGATATGAGCACCAGTGACCCCCTGCAACCCGAAAAAGAAGAAGCGAGTAAAGAGAATGGATGGATGGATGGATGGAATCCAGTCTTTTCTTTTGTATCAAAATGTAAAACTATCAATAAATGTTAACAATCATTGGATGTTTTTAGCTTTATAATTTCACTCCTCTAACAAATGTAAAGTGGCCCATGGGCCACCAGTTGATAATGAGCATTGTAGCAGTTTTTGTGGCTCTGGACACATTTAATTTAGTGAAGGAAGGGGCAGAAATGGCTCTTTTGATCATAAAGTTTGCAGACACTGGAACTAGAACAATGAAACCCTTGTGGTTAGAATTTATCCATGGAGCACTTTACTGAAAAACATCACAATTGGTAACAATAATACAGAATACAGGAGATGATGCAAGTTTTTTTTTTCTAATAATGCCTCCAACACGACTGTTGTTACATTACACAGAACAGGCTTTGGAATAAACTTGAGAGCCTTTGCATTTACTGTGTTTGGGCAAAGTGCAACAGAATTTGTCTGCAGTTCAGGTCAACACTGCACTTTCACTTTTTACTCTTAAGACTTTATTTGGAGTGTACTAATAAAAAAGAGGAATCAGAAGTTTTTTTTTTAATCACTCTGTTTCATTTGATTTCTCAGTCTTTCAGCAGGTTTCTCTGTCTCAGCAGCTGTATATATCTGAGCTGCAGTTACTGGTCACTCCAACCTGCCTAGTGTTTACAGCTTGTTGTATCTCTGAGCTCATCTCTTCTCTCGCTGCAGTCCCTCAGCCAGTCTAAACAAGGCAGCCGCCCATCCTGGATTGGGATTCATCTGAGAGATTTTCTTGGGGAAAATTGTTTCTTTTTTCTTTTTTCTTTGGAATTGTTTTTTTTCCCCATCCGTTAAGGTCAGCAAGCTTAATGATGAAACAATGGCTTTACCATATTTCTATTACACATTAAGACTTGTGTATAGACTTGTACATTATCATAATAAGTGTCCTGGACCTGGGAACACTCAAAAAAATAACTGAAGGACATTAACTCCCAAAAGGCAAAGATGGGGATCCCAGTATTGGTCATGAAACAGCAAACTAAGGGCCCAATCAGGGCACTGTACAAACACAGTCACATTATAAAAGCCAATTAGTAAAAGTTATCTATCTAAGGAAGCCAGCACATTGTGTTGAATCTTCACTTTGTCGCAGTCGCCCATCCTGAGCAAGCACAAAGGCAACAGTGGAAAGGAAAAACTCCCTTTTAACAGGAAGAAACCTCCAGCAGAACCAGGCTCAGGCTGAGCGGTCATCTGCTTTGACCAATTGGGGATTGAGAGGACAGGAAGGAGTAACAGACAAACATAGATTGACAATGACAAATCTTGATCACATTTGGTTACCACAATTATTTTGTTGGTCAACTTTTTTTCAAGCACAAAGTTATTGAAGATTAAAATCGATAAATATTTGAGCATTTTTTAATCTGCGTTCTAATCTGTGTTATTAATCTTGATTACCTGAATTCAGGTGAGTTCAATAATTTACATCATTGACAATCTAATGTTCCAAATGTATTAAACGAATTTTGTTCATAACTTTTATCACCATATTTATGACTTTTTAAAAAAACTTTACAAGTAAACAGCAAATAACTGTGACCATTTTTAAATCAGGGAATTAAAACTCATTTAAAACAGAATGATAAAATGGCATTAAATGCTTGTGATAAACATTTCAACTGCAAAATAATCAAAACTGCCCTCCAGGACCCTCAAACACACCCACATAAACTCACTTCATGGCATGTTAACTCATGGAAACTTCCCTCCCAGGCACAATATGGGTTGTCACTGTGGTCCATTTCCTGCCAGATCTAAAACATTTGATCCAGGGACTCATGTTCCGCTCAGGGGGCTTTAAATCATTCTGGCTGCAAGTGCATCTTGGCCTGGTGTGAGACTCGTGAGAGTCTGGATCTGAGGTGGAGACAGGACAAGGTCTCCCTCTGGTGCAGTAACAACATACTGTAAATTCACTGAGAAAAGCTAAAACAATCATTTTTAACAACCAAACCATTGTAATCCAGGAATAAAATCAAATACTCTGAACCAAAAGGAAAACAGGGTAAGATATGAACACTTACCTATCCATTTATATAAATATCCACTATGAATGCTTTCGTCATGTAGTCAAATATGTTGAGGACATGTGTATTTTTGTTTATCTTAAAGTACAGATTTGAACAGTGCAACCTAAAAAAGAACGAGAGCAAAAACATCAAACAAGAAAGTGATGTTATATTATTAAAGCTTTTAAACCAAACCTAATATGATGATAATAATAATAATAAAATAATTTTATGTAAAAAGTGCCTTTCAGGACACCCAAGGACACTTTACAGCAAGAAACATCAGATAAAATTGTGATAACAATTGGTGTTATCCAAAAAAATTATAACAAACTTATATTAAAAAATACAGATAATTATGTTTTGTTTAAAAAACCAGGACATGTTTTGATCTATACCAATTCGAATTTCTGTTAAAATTTGTTTTAAATAGTAGCAAATTAAATGAATGCATTTTCATTGCCTTATTTATGTTAAAAATGCATGTATACCAGTCACCAAATGAAAAAGACATGCAAAAGACATTTTTTGTAGCTCCACTTTTACAAGGTTACCATTAATGTAAGAGTCTCACTGTGTATTCTGTACCCATTGGTCAGATGGTCATGATTATCTACATGTAGGCTCTCACATCACTCCTTGGTCTGCTGCCTTCTTATATCTCCTCCCAAAAGTCACGTCGTCAGTGCAGTTACAGCGTGCACTCTCAGGCCATTATTACCTGCAGTGTTCCCTCAGTGCGGACTGAACTCGGTAAAAGGCCTTTTCTTACTCTGCTCCTGTAACCTGGAGCAACTCGCAAAAAGATCTGAAGCTGTCCATTTTGCTTTCTTTAAAGGATTTTAAACAATTGACAAGGTCAATAGAAAAATCAAAGCAAATATGTTCTTGTAATATTTACCTTGTTTTACAAGGCGCCTTGATTTTATTGTTTTATATTTTATTTTAATTGCATTTTATTGTTGTTTGTCTGTACTTATATGTTGTCTTCCTAAAACAGGTCTCTCTTGTAAATGAGTCCTCGTGACTCAGTGAGGAGTACCTGTATAAATAAAGGCCGAATGAATGGGGTGGAACTTGTGCAATCAGAAACAGAATTTGAATTGCTCAAAATCTGTATCCATTGGTTTGAAGATGAATTTCACTAAATTGACACTGAATTTAACGGTCTGAAACTGAATTAATTTGCTTTGAAACTGCACCCATAACTGTGCGCATAGATTCTGAGCTGAGCTTTACTTTGAAGGAAATGCTCTTTGCGCTTGCGCAGTTGTAGCTTTGTTTCGTAAACAGGAACCCCGGAAGCACTTGCACGCACGTGTAGCATGCGTCAACCTTGAGAAACTAGCCTGCGTTTTATGTCAGCAAGCAAGCCGCTGTAGTGATGCCAGTTAGACGTGTATTGTAAGTAATTTTGAGTAACCTTTTTTTTTTTTACAGTAATTCCCGTTGTTGTTGTTTTGTGTGTGTTTCATTTAGTCAGCAAATCAACGAAATTAATGTCAAACCCAGCTAGTAGCTTAGCATATAGCTAGACACAGACAACTTGTAAAGTATTTACATTAAGCAGCGTAATGTCCTGTAATGGAATGTCCTGTTAAAATAGAGTGAACTCGTTTTGACTTCTGAACTTGCTCTTAATTTGAAAGCGTTCATTTCAATTAAATTAATTTTATTCATATAGCGCAAAGTCACAATATAAGCCATCTCAGGGCACTGTAGAGAAACATTCACATACACTAAAAGCCAGTTAATAACGTTATTTATCTAAGGAACATTTACGAAGCAACAACATAGCTAGCATTAGCCAGCTAAGCTAAAAACAAATGGCATGCAGCCTGAATCTTGCTTCTCTGGAGGTTACTTTAATGACACAGGTCTCTATGATGGTGCAGATACTAACTGTACCCACTTTATTATAGTGGAGAAATAATAGCATTGCTCCTAACGTATATGGAGTAATATTAATATGGTTCCTTATAATTTTACACAGGATTTTAAATGGATGTTGTAGTACACATTTGGCTGCGCAGTTAATTGTTATCATTTTAGGTGAAATTTTTGTTCATATGTATTTTCAATATTCCTTGCTGCCTAAAAATACAAAAAATATTTGCATCTTTTTGTGTTGGTACTGACGAAACGGGAAACTGGGAGGCCCATGGCCAGTTTACAACGCCATTTTTTTTTTTTGTCTTGGGACATTATGTAATTTTTTAATTAATAAATAAAACAATATTGCTTCATTTAAATAAATATACATTAATGACCCTTAGAAGAAGAACCTGATCACTTAAGAATAATATATAGTAGAGTATTCTTGGTTTAAAAACAACAACAAAAACCAACAGCTGCTACATCTTCATCTTCCTAACTGATAATTAAGTATGTACAAGCATGGCCAATATCAGCCAATTAATGGATCTGTGTTTAGTCAAGTGTTTTTTTTTTTTTTTTCTGAACACAGATAAAAGGCTATTTTTTACCATCAAGACCAAAGAAAGTAAATAGAGGTAGACCTTGGAATAGAAGTTTAAAGTTAAAGCCTGACAGCTTCGCTGTTTGCTGGTTCTAGTGCAAGTTAAAATCATGCTCCCACCATGTAAAGTAATGAGATATTGACATTGGTAGAACACAAAAAATACACATTTCTTTTTAATTCACAAAGTTCTTGTATTGTTTCTGTTCTACAAAATATTGCAGTTTATGTTAGAACTATACTTTAGATGTTGTCTCCCTGTCTCCTCTCAGATACTCTGCCTACCAGTTGGGGAATCCCCAACTCAGGATCTTCAGACCAGACTGGTATCTCACTCTTGTGAGGCCAGGAAAAGAGCAGCCTCCTGATACTGTCCAATTTCGCATCCCAATGCAGTAAGTTTGTCTCCTGCCAATTTAATGCAAAGCATAAAAAATGTCATACTGTTGCTTTGCAAATTGTTCTGTACTATAAAATTTTAAACAGAAATTTTATTATAATCATTTCACAGTCTAAAGCTGCAGTTCAGTCTACTGGTAGTTCTGTGTTTTACTGTTTAAAAAAAAAATTTTTTTACGTGTTCAATATATTTCCCACGGGGGAAAATTTTACGCGCACACACACACACACACACACACACACACACACACACACACACAC